ATAAGTGATATAATTTCTATTAATCATTTAAACCACTAGACTAGCATAGGCAACCATGGTTACCTTAGGAAAAGATGTTGAGATTACCTGACTTTCTCCCTGCTGTTGATGAACTGACATAATCGAATCGGAAACTCTGAGCAAGAGACTTCAACCTAAACAATAATGAAACCATTGAACTATGCTGAAACATGGCACGAACACAAACTATATTATCCTGTAATGTAGCTTGATGATGAAAGTTAGGCTTAGGAATTATTAGTCTCACTATTCATACGTATGTATTAATAGTTTCACAAAATCTAGTATCATCAAATTTCAATAATGCCCATAATTAAACATGCATTTCTAAGTTTTGCATAACTTTTCAACTACAATAACTCTGAAAGTTTTTTTTTTAATAAAAACGAGATAACGTTCTGAAACTCAATTAAAGTAGTAGCGGTGACGGGGGTTCACTAAAAGTTAGGCTTAGAAGCTGCTAATCATTAAGCTACATTGGAGGGTAATATAGATTTTTGTGCTTGACAACATTTTTATTTTAATACAACTAAATTTGTATTAAACTAGTGGTGATGACTGGGTTTACTAATATTTAATAATGAAACAACTCAACCATAAAATTCAGCATTCTAACGAATTAACCAAACACCTATGCAAACTCAACCCCCAACTTGATTTCATTAACCACACAAACCTAATAACATTCACTAATTTTCTCGCACAAGATGGAGTTCACCTTAACTTTTCTGGTATTTTTGCTTTGACCTCAAACTTCAAATACTTTATTTCTCGCATCACTCTTGTCTTCATCTTCCAAGTTACCCCAACCATCTCTTGTTTCTACTTCCAACAGTTTTTCTACCCTCACCTTTCCAAATTCTACATTTCCTCCTATTTCGGAAGATACCAACCTCTATCACTCAATTTAAAAGCTCACAGTGATCCTTGACGTTCTTCTATAGGTTCTGCTAGTGGACTAAACACAAATCACACTTTCTCAAAAACATCACATTTCACAAATAACAATATTTATTCTTCTAATGCTTCTGTTGTTTTCCTCTTTACTCACAAACCCTTCCACTCACTTATCTACAAAACTACCCCAAATCAACACTTGTGTGAACATTGCATGTTACACATTAGAATCTTTACCATAAACCTCTCACCCCTTCTCCTTTTCCTTGAACTTCCTTTATTTTACGATTACAACAACGTCCTCACACCAGTATATGTAAACACTCAACCTGAACAAAGCGGCGAATCGCTCAACTGCAGCAGAAAACAAACTATTTCAGAAACTTAGGAAACTCACTGACAAACGCACAGACATTGTCAACATGCAAAGTCGTTAGTCTATAACGTAAGATCGAAACAACCTCCAGCTCTCACATTAAAAGCGCCAATCATACTAGGAGCACATGATCACAACTTCTGCAACACGTGACAACAAATCCTTAGGATTCATCCTTTAATGCACATAAGCCCTCTCCAACTAACACACCTGTTAAAAATAACAGTGACCTCATGAATCGCACAGGTGACGATGAACACTCCCCACATATATCTAATTTTGTTAATATTTCAGATATAACTCTCTCCGAAGGAGAACTCAGTCTCTTTATTAAAGGTCTCAACCTTTGCCCAAACAATAATTTTATTAATCAATCCGAACTTCTTTCGAAAACTAAAACTTCGTGATTTTTTTCACAACAAAAATACATTGAACTTCAAAGAAATGTCTTCATGGACACCAAACAGAGAACCACATTTAGAGAGTTATATTAAAGCAGTAGAAAATATCATAATACAGACCTTAAAATCTTCCAAGCAATGTCCTAATAATATTAACCAAAATGAAAGAACTGCTCTAAACAATCTTAAGTCGAACAACAATATCATAATAAAGCCAGTAGACAAGGGTGGAGCTATTGTTATTCTTACAACAAGCAACAATATCGTAATAAAGCCAGCAGACAAGGGTGGAGCTATAGTTATTCTTAACAAAGATGACAATATCATAATAAAGCCAACAGACAAGGATGGAGCTATTGTTATTGTTACAACAAGCAACTATATTATAATAAAGCCAGCAGACAAGGGTGGGTCTATTGTTATTCTTACAACAAGCAACTATATCATAATAAAGCCAGCAGACAAGGGTGGGTCTATTGTTATTCTTACAACAAGCAACTATATCATAATAAAGCCAGCAGACAAGGGTGGAGCTATTGTTATTCTAACAACAAGCAACAATATCATAATAAAGCCAGCAGACAAGGGTGGAGCTATTGTTATTTTTACAACAAGCAACAATATCATAAATTTATAGAAATCCACTAAAACAATAAAATCAGCAAAGAAACCTTTCAGTATTTGATACCAAGACAAACTTTTTCCTGGTATATTTTATCTCTTACCAAGAATACACAAACCAAACAATCCTGGCCGAACCATAATTTCTAATATAAACATGACTACTGAAAAGCTGTCCGCTTTTGTTGACCAACACATAAAATGTATTTCCTGTACTCTCCCTTCTTACATAAAGGATATTACTCACTTTCTTAACATCATAGAAAATATTAATACTAACTGACAGTTACCACTCAATAGTCTTCTTTGGACAATGGATGTTTCTTCCCTTTACACCAATATTCCACATGATGAATGACTAGAAACTTTAAAGTCCGCCTTAACTCTTTTTAAACCATCAGGATCTCAAACAGTAACTGATCTTGCCAGCCTTGTTTTAACTCTGAACTACTTCGAATTCAATAACCTTCAGGTTAACGGTACTGCAAAGGGTACCAAAATGGTTCTCAATTATGCTAATATTTTAATGGGTCATATTGGAAGCCAGCTTTTACAACTAAGCCTTGTAAACCTCATACATGGAAATATTACATAGACGACATATATTTCATTTGGACAGCCGGTCTTAAATCACTTAAAGAATTTATCTCGTATGCAAACACCTTTCACAAAACAATCAAGTTTGATTACTTACCTACTCAAGTTAACTTTCTTGACGTCTTTATAAATAACGGAAATTTACACACAGACTTGTGTGAAAATACCTACAGATAGACCACAATACCTTCACTATAAAAGCTGTCACCCCTCTCACACTAAACAAAATATTACCTACAGTCAAGGTCTTAGAATAAAGAAAATATGTTCAGATGAAACTGACTAAAGAAAACACACCAAGGATCTAAAACAAACCATGTTACAAAGAGGATATAAAGATACCAAAATTGACAGACAGATCAAAAAGGCTAACAACACTCAACAGGAAAACATCCTAAATCAGAGCAATACTAAAGTTTCAAATAGAATTCCTCTTGTTATTACCTATCACTTTAAACTCAGAAACGTTTCACGAATTCTGTAAAAAACATTTTCATCTCCTACAACTGAATCATCGCCTTAAACAGATATTTCCTGAAGTTCCCGTTGTCTCGTTCCGGAAAAGCAGAACCCGAAAATATATTCTTTTTCATGCAAAAATAAGTTCCATCCTCACTAACAAATGGTTGTCATCCATGTAATAAATGCTCATTGCCAAACCTGCAAGTTCATAAAAACTACTGACAAGCACAACCAAAGAAACTTTAAAATTTCTAAAGAAATCACTTGCACAACACAAATTTACTTTATACAGTAGTAAAAAAGTAAATCTTCAGTATGTAGGACAAACATAAACAACTCATAAACATAAACAGCTCTTAGAGAACATTTCAACAATCATAACTCTTCTATCAACACCGAAAAAGATCTCCCTGTTAGTCAACCCTTCAACCAACCAAGATACAAGAAGCTTGTCGGATTGTTAATCTAAATACTGTTCTATCTAGTGGAATAAATCTAGATCCTGGAATCAGTGATCTCCGATCATTGGTCTGTTCTCTGTCAGAAAAATAATTCTAATATTTTCCATGTAGTATGAACTATCAATGTTTACGCCTAATCTTTCTAATACTTGCTGAACTTTAGTTGTTGTTGTTTTTATTTATTTGCAAATTACTTCACACAAAAAACGCTTAAACCCTGTAATTTCCTAAAAAATGAACATTACAC